CAAAAAAGCCGTATGACCACTGTTGCTAACTGAATTCTGAGGCTTTAAATGCACTTTGCATCTTAATCTTTTCCTTAAAATATTTAAACCCTTAAATACCTCATTCCAGTGTGACATCCAGCTGTCTCCGCTTCAGTCTGAGGCACCTACCGTTTTTCCTGTTCTGTAGATGCATCCCTGGCTCACTGTTGCTGAAATTCTACCAGTTACAAACCGTAAAGCTGAGTGTGAAATCGTTTTTGTTAAGAGTACGTACTTCAAATGCATATTCCATCCCCACTGGCCTTACAAACTTCTTCCTACTACTCGCCAGCATAACCTTACTACATGCTAAAGTGGGACTTGAAGCCAGCATGCGTTTTCCCCGACGGGTGCTATTTTGATCCTCATGTGCTTTTCAGCCCGTGAAATCCATCCGGAATTCCCATTTCCTTTGTAAGACTGGGGAATCCTGCCGGATAAGCTCACCTAATCACCGACCCTTAACTGAGGGGCACAGCATAAATCCTAGCTGCTCTTGAAGAACGGCCGATAGGGCTGGGGTGTTTTTAAGTGGTATCTTCAAGATTGGCAATTCATTGATTTCAAAGCAGTAACGGCAACTTCCTTAGGCCTTAAATTGTTGTCATTGGAGCGCAAGACTTTACTATCCTGTGACCAGAAAGTCATCAGTGTTATACAATTATATCCACCTCTACAAAATATAGGCATGTACAGTATCATCTGCCTTATTCCATGTGCTCTCTAAACATTTGGGGTTTTTTAAACATCTGCCGACGGAGCTGCAGAAGGAGCTCGTAAAAACAAGGAAGATGAAAGGAAAAGGAACACAGCTGCTAAGTTTCCCCCCCTGTGGATGCCGTGTCTCAGTTAGCCACGAAATAAAACTTCACCTTTCTTAGCTGATACATGAACGAGTTCCTCCTGGAGGGACAACAGGCACCAACACAGCAGCGACGTAATCTGTTGTTTATTCTCAGTCCGTGCGTGACTCTTCTCATCTCCCTGGAACCACCAAGACCTGACAAGGTTCCTAGGAGAATTCTGGCAGGAATGTTTTCAAAAACATCGGCTGCGATGCCAACGGCTGCTGCTGTGCAGGATGCCAGCAGCCTGCGCGACGTGAGGACGTGCGGGCGGGCACGTGCTCATTTGTACCCACGCTATTTGTAACGAAGGCCACGCTGCGGAGGAGATGGTGATTGTCTCAAAGCTTCTGATGACTGAGCTTCAATGTAGTCTCTGCTGATGGTCAAAAAGAATCAAGCAGAATCAAAATGGAGGAGGATCTTGATTTCCACATTATGCTTTTACTGTAAGCACAAAGACTCTGGAAGTCCAGTTATATCGCTAATTAACGAGGAACTGCTTTTTTTGATGTTTTTCTCCTTGTCGTTCTTGAAAACGATTGAAATAAGAGTTCCCCCTGCTGGCAACCGGCTGAGTCATAAACGGACTCAGGGCTGGGACTCTGGAGCCACCAAAAAGTAGAAGAGAAGGTGAAATTGCTTTGTAACTTCTCAGTCTGACCTTCAAGTTTTGCACTTGGAGGGTTTTGTCTGAGGCACTTAATAAACTAAGCTCCTCCTCAACCGATTTCACTTCCTCTACTCAGAAAAAGACCGGTCACATCTGCTGAGGAGGGAGCAAACCACAAGCGTTCCCTCTGGCAACTCCTTGGCCAGGCGGCCCAAACTCAAACTCACCCAGGGAGCGTCCAAAGCACCTACCACCTTGGCTGTAAAGGGGGATGTTTGACACTTCCCCAAACTGTTTCATCCTGGAAAATACAGCATTACCACAAAACTTACAGCTGCGGAAAGACAGACAGATCAAGCACACAGGACTAAAAAAGAACAAGGTAGGGGTTTTTTATTTGACTAGATTTGCACCCTTCTAATAAACTGGAGAATGTCTAAAAAAAAGCAGAGACCAACTGAGTCACAGCAGAACTGGTGAAGCCCAGACTGTTGGTGGAGAGCCTGGGCACTGTGCTTTAATTCCTTGAAACCTCTAAACTGCTTATAGGTGCATGTGCCACCACAGAACGCTGCCTTCTCTGAGTAAGCAAAATGTAACTTGCCAGCAGTAGTTAAAGATTCCTTTGCACAGCCATACCCTAGGCGTTATACAGCGTCTAGACAAACCGGAGTAAGTTCTGTCAACGCTTGGTGCCTCAGTAATCTCTTACTTGAAAACAGAAAGCCTTTCCTGACGCTGCACCAGAAATTCAAGCGTTGCCTCTGAAGACACTCGCACTGTTTATACAAACACAAAACACGGCCAAAAAACTAGTGAACATAATAATCCCCCTGCAAGAGATGCCTCCAAGAGGAGCCACCATTTCTAACAGGAAAAAGTAACATGGAGGATGAAAACTTCACTGGATCTTAACCCAGTTCCTTTGGAGTTTGCCCGTCTTTAAATAAAGAGATGGCCAAACTCAAGCAGGAACATGCACCAAAAGCCACCAGGCTCCTCCAAACGTGGTAACCAGCCTGTCACCGAGGAGAGGTATTACAGCAGTCCTCCTGGCAGCTCCGAGCCGGGGACCTATTTGGGGCAGCGGTGTTAAAACTGCCCAAGAAGCAAAGCCAGTGCCGATTTGAAAATAGCTCCTTGAATTGCTTTTGTAGCCTCCTCTGGGATCTCGCAGTACGTGAGGTCTGGAGAGCAGACGGCAAACTGTCCAAGGAAATCCAAAGGATTCAAACTCAAGGCAGGTACAAGAGCTGCCTGTTTTAAGAAATCCTTATTGACTAAGAGTCAGAGGTGCAGCAAGAACCGAGCTGGAGCAATACCAGGAACAGGCTTTAGAGCTAAAGTGGGTCAAGGGAGCCTGCAGCAATCAGGAGAGAGAAAATCTCCTTTATTTTCTTTCTTCTTGGCAGACTGATCTTTAAATCTGTGCTCTGAATACAGACAAGTTGAAGATATTGGTAAAGACAGATCTTGGCTTAGAGAATAAACCCTAGGAAGCTCCCAGCTTCATTCTTTCTGCTAGTCGCCTAGGCTGCTGCAGTGTGGGGAAGGGGACAGACCTGCAGCTCTGAGCAGGAGCTCACTTGAAACTCTGTTGGCTTCTTTGCAATACTTAAGAAAAGAATTAACAAAGTCATTGGGGTTTGAGTTGGGTTTTTTTTAGACACAGTCTCTCCTAGAACCACACTTGGACTCAGCACAAGACGGGGAGAAGAGTTCAGGCAGCGCCTGAACACAGAAGAGGCAATTTGCCTGGAGATGCTGTAACTAAAACGGAGATCGCCGCTAACAGACGGCCAGCACAGCGCAGAAAGGCTGCTGCTATCCCACTCCCTCAATTTCTCACCATATACTTCCCTCAAGAGCTTCAGTCAGTACAGAATTATTGCTAATAAGCAATTCTGCTGCTGTAGAATCAAACCAGTGATTTCCCTTTGCTTTGTCGTGACGCTCTACAGCAGAGTAGTGGTTTGTAACAGCAACAACTCAAATATTCTTAACAGGCAACAGGTTTGAACAGAAATTCCAACTTTATCACGAGGAAGGGGATGGTTGAGGGAGGACGTGGTTTCTAAGGCGTTTTTGGGGTGTTTATATTTGCAGTGACGCAGGAGCCGGGTCGATTCCTACGTTCGATTACTAATTTAATAGAAGGGAAAACAAGTTGCAAAACTAAAAGGATTGAGAGCTCGCCTCGAATCTTTCGGTTGCTGAGTTTGAGAATCAGTTAAATTCAAGATGGCCCTAAGAGACAGAGGAGCACAAGTCCTATAGACACAGAGGAAAGGGAGTTGGATGATTAAGACACACAAAAGATAATTAATTCTTCTCTCTGCCACAGAGTTCATGAACAAGTCATGCAATTTCTCTTGCTCCCTTTTATGAAATGGAACGAGTCTTCGTTACCGAAGAGGTGCTGGGAAGCACAACTGTCTTCAGGAAAGGCAGCACCTCCGCACGGTACCAAACGCCAGCACACGGTGCTCAGCAGGCAGCATTCGTGGCGTTAAGTCACAGAGGCTTTTCCTTTGGGATTCTCTGCTACTGGGAACATGTTTGTTTGCTACTTATCACTTGACCTTTACGACAATGCAAGTCAGCCAAGAGGTGAAGGCGACAGGGAAAACCCCTTTAATAGCCTCGGGCTTAATTCTGCAAGAAACATGTTGTTTGAGTAGAACTATAGGAGAGTAGGACAGATTAAATGCAAACCAAATTTGAGGCCAAAAAAGTTGTAACAAACACTGGAGGGGTGAGGGAAGCAGGGGATGGAGAGAGAGAGAGAGAGAGAGAGAGAGAGAAAGAGACTTCCAACAGCCGCTCAGGAAAGAGATCAAGATCCCATCTGGAGGGGCAAAAGGCCAAAGCCACCGAACAGATGGAGACCAAGCGACAGCTGGTAGAAACATGCTTTCATGTGTAAAGTTTGCTCTTTGGAGAATTTTTGCTCTCCAACTCTGAAGGCATCATTATGATAATAACTCCTCCCCGTACAACGCTGGGGAGCCAGCCTGCGCTCAGGAGCGGGTGGTCGCAAGCTCGCCGTGATGGTGCTTAATTAACAAGGGCCCTTTCAACACTTCGAAGCCGCTGTCGCACAACCTTGGCACGGTTTTAGCAGCAGAGGGTCCTGTTCCTCCATCAGCAGGGGGGGGATGAAAAGAATTAATTTGGGCCCCACTGGTTAAACAGGTCTCCTGTAAACTCTTACATACGCCAAGAGCTGCTTCTCCTTCAGAAGGGCTGGGATGAAGGATACAATGCGTCGTGGTGTTTAGACATCTTACCCTAAGGGAAGAACGTCCAACTGGTTGCTCCATCAACTCAGTGATGGAAAAAATCATACAATCAGTCAGAAGAAGGGGCTGTCTTCAGCACGGGCCTTTAATCCTGGGATCTTTTTTCCAGGCCACACCAAAGAACTAATGGAATTCTAAGACCAGCCCTCTCCTTGGAGAGCACGGTTTCTCCCCAAGATCAGCCAACAACACTGAAACTGAAGGTCTGGAAGAGTGGCCATTGTCTCTTTTTCTTTAATAAAGATATGAACTGTTTTTTCTTGTTAAGGCAAGAATATCATCCTGCTGCTAGGATCTAGTAATGCAGCTTTGATTACAGAAAAAAGAAAAAAAAAGAAAAAAGCACTTAATTACAGATAAAACTAAAGTATTACACTTTTAAGACAATTTAGAATTAAAAAACTAAAACAACAAAAAAAAATCCAAACACTCTCCTTCTGATTACCTATCCTGAGTCCAGTTTCAAAACAGATTTTGAGGTACAAGACAATAAATTAAAAGTTCATTCCAACTGCAGAGATCAACCATTTCCTCAATGCGACGTCTTCTTTACTCCCTTTCCAAATTTGGCATCGAGTCCAAGGCCTGCAAAGAGACAAAATAATCCATGTGCACGGGAAATTTCGTCCTATTCTTCAAACACAACGCAAGGAACTCGGTGAAAAATCAGCTTAACGGCACCCATTTACGGACGGCCACTCAGAGGCAGCGACCTGCTAGACCTGGTAGAGGTCACGTTCCCCCTTCCCGCGCTGCTGAGGTCACTAACACGCTCTCCCATCGAGAGCGTCCCAATACAATACAGATCTTTCGGACCAGCATCGTCCGTTAGCTCTCCCCTCGCTGCGTACCCTCTCTGCTCAAGCAACCAGGGGAGAGGCCGCGGGCGTTCGCTGCCCAGACTTACCCAAGAACACCAGGACCGTCCCCACCCACTGCATCGTGCTGATGGGATTGGCAAACAGGATGACGGACGCTAAAATGGTGAAGAACTTGCGGGTTGTGGTGATGATGGAACAAGTCAGAGGTCCGAAGTACACCACCGTCATGAAAATAAAACTCTGTAAACACCAAACAGACGCCTTTTGTCACTCTGACTGGAAAAAGTACAACACAAAAGTGTTTTCAGATGAAACGTCATCGAGCTACGGCCGAAAGAATCTTATTTCAGACTCAGGTTATTTGCTTACAAACTTAAACCAGTTTTATCCGCAGGCAGCCGAAAGCAAGCACCACCCAAAGCACCAGAAAGCGAGACAGCCTCACTCCGCCGTCTCCCAGCCGGGCAACCGCGCCCCCGTGAAGACTGCGGAACGAGGGAAGCGTGGTTACCTGCCCCAGCGCGCTCGTCAGGCCGAAGAGCAGGATGTTGTAAACGATGCTGGGGTAGCGTTCCGTAAAACTCAAGAATTCCCAGAGCTCTCCAGTGAACAGTATCCCTGGAAAAAAGATCAAGGTGAAAAGCACGACTTACGAGCCCAGAGGCAGCCCGAGCCACCGCCGCCTACGCAGGGTGATTTCAGTTTAACCCCACAGGAGCTCCATACGGTGTAAATTCCATACGGTGAAAACCAAAGAGAACAGGAGGAAAAGCGATCACCTTCCTCATGCACGGAAGAAGCAATCGTTAACTGAGATCTAATTCTAGTCCCCAGCAATTAGAAGCTCAACTCCCTAATGGGAGCGAAAGCTGCACTGGTGCGGTTTGCTCCTCTGCCGGCGCAAGAGAGCCCTCGGGTGGAAGCGCGGGCGGCCAGGGCTGGAGCAGAGAGG